CTCCTTACTACATATTTCTCTGTGTAAACAGTCGAGGAGGCGATTAAGTTGCTTGCGAATCTCGTATGACATAATCGTAGGCGAGATTTTAGCTCTTGCATGAATGTAAACATTATGATACGATAATCTTATGGCGATTATTGCTTACGATAATCGCCTACGAGTTTTCTTCACGAAGCGTGCGAGAAACTCTCTCCATCTAAATGGGCCTTTTGGCTACTAAGGTTTTTTTAACTATAAAAAATTTAAATAACAGTATGTGCTGTGCCGTTCCGTAATCCGTCGTCACTAGGGCTTGTTGTCATCTCAGTGAGAGTGCGACGACGCGGGTTATCAGTGGAATTACCAATTTTTAAATTAGGATTTTTGACTTGTATACATGTCCTTTGAGCCAGATCTTCATTTAGTTTTCGGGATCCTTATTAAATATTTTCTATTGTGTTTTTATGTACTTGTAGAATGGCAAAAAGAAGTTAAGGTTTTTAAATATTTTTTTAAACGGCGGGAGTCATTATTCACGTTTTCACTTTCACTTAAATCACTTGGTGCATTTGTAATAAAAGACGTTGAACTTTTTGCCGCTTTTGCAGGTATTTCTTCCTGTATTCGTCCTTCTTACAGAAACTTCTCCATAAAGTTGTCACATCATTGCTTATATCCGTAAAACAATCCGTAAATGGTCCAGTTACAACGAGCTAATTTTAATTGGAAATTTGAGGTTTAAGAAATATTTATTTCTCATAAGAAATAATTCTGTCATAAGACAACAATTCATTTACATGAGAAATTACACATCCATATTTGCCAAAATTCGGGCTTTATTGCGTACCCATCACAAACACTTGGCTTATTTTGTAATGTAACTAACTTATAAATTACAAAGACATAAATTACTACCAAAAACAAATAAAATTAAATTCACTAAGACTACAATTTTGTATACTATCACATAAGAAGGCAGTGTGATGATCTATAAGAAGGTAGTGTATAATCTATTTTAAATTTTAAAATTCTACGTAGGGTAGAAATTTATTCTGTTTCCAAACGTAACAGATATAGGACTGAGTGCATCTGGAAGCGACATTGATTATTATATTCATTTCGTGTTATTTAAAATTTTAAAATTTTATTTATTCCTTTCACTTGAAATTTCCACCGTTTTCCCCATGGAATTACCGAGCACCCGTTATAGACAGCTCTAGAGTTGTGATCTCGGCAGGTCGCATCGTAATCCGTTCCGCGCTGGAGACGAAGAAGCCGGTGCGCTCGCGCCGCGAGTCGTCCATCAGCTCCATCTCGTCCGACGGGCGCAGCCGCGAGCGCGACCGCGCGCGGGGCTACAGGCGCATCAAGACCGAGAAGCTCACCACACCCGAGAGGGAGATGGAGTACAACAAGGCCACGGCCGGTGAGCACTCGCCCCGGCACACTCTTAGCCACAATTTCACCTTAGCCTTAACAGCTTGCACTCGAACCTAGCCCCAAATTGAAATTATCTTTAAATTGAAATTCAAATTAGAGAGAAGCAAAGCGCTAAAACTAAACTAAAGTAAACTAAACTAAAACTATCAAATATATATCGTATAGAAAACCGACAAGCTGACCACTACCGGACTCGAAGGCTGGGATCGTATAGTACCGCTTACTTTAAAAAAAAGAAAAAGGCGGTAAAGTAATATGAAGTGTTTTGGTTTTTTTTTTCGTCTTTTTTGCATTTTCATCGCGAAAATGAGTTCTAGTAAGGAGAGCGATAACAAAATACAGTAATGGATTGTACTCCGCCTACTTCAAAACACGAGGCAATATAGACCAATTAGTTATGTACTCGATGGCCCGAAGTTAAATATTACTTTTAATATTAGTTATTATTTTGTAGTTTTTATATTATACATCTTCTTCTCTTTAGTATTGTCTCATCTTGTCACATTGTTTGAGAAAAACACAATAAACCTCAGCTAGAACGGGGATTGCTTAACTCGTATTTAATACAAGGCCTCGCTGAAGCGCTCGGCCTCGCCTCACAGTGGGCCCAAGTTAATACTTCTTGGACATAGGAATTACTTGTGGAGTATCGAGCTAATTTTTTTTATATAATAGATAATAACATTCCTAACAACTTTTATTCTTGTATAATTTCTTGAAGTTTTTAGATTTTTTTTTGTATGGAGAAATATGCATTTTTTTTTATCGTTGAAGTTAGAGATCCTTCTTCTTCATCTTCAGCCTATTTTCTGGTCCCACAGCTGGGTACAGGTTTCCAGACATAATGCTTGTCTCCTGGATATTACAGTACCATGAGTCGTGTTAAAAAAATCATGGGAATTATTATCTTATAAAACTATGATTTAAATTTATAATAGAGTTATGGTTGTTAGGTCTGTACGGGATGCCGCCGGGCGCTTTCGGGATGCCACCGTACGCCGGTTACGCACCGTACGCTGCCGTGCCGCCGCCGGGATACCCCTTCACGCCTCAAAGTATGAGTATCCTGTAAACTACTTAAGACAAAAGAATATTTTTCAGCTTACGTCATTGGCGACGTACACATACGCAGAATAATAAAAAAAATGTGTGACTCAAAGGTATTACAGCAGTGAATGACCAATAATAATAATAATATATAATAAATATCATATATCATACCATAACATACGTTGCTCTGACTCCAAAGTAAGTAACTAAAGCTCTTGTGTTATAGAAATCGGAAACAAGGATGGTACCACAAACATCCAGACCCGAGACAATATAGAAAAGTTTAGTTTCTAGATTGATGTTGCCGGGGATCGAACCCGAGACCTTTGAGATGGTTACACCATGAAAACCGGTGTGCAAGTCACTCGACCACGGAGGTCGTCAGACCACCAAATCAATGGGTCGGTCTCATAATGACTATATCTTCAAAATGACCTGATCGGCATAAGGACTAGATCGTAAAAAGACACCATCTCTGCAGAAAGACTATACCTTACAATGACTTGGTAGCAAAACGACTAGGTATCGTTAAATGGACCACATGGTAAAACGAGAGACAAAATAACTAGATTTCGTTATTGTTTTTTCAAAGTACAGTTTGGTTAAACATTTAATGACATCACAAAACAATCAAACAAAATTTTTATAACTTGTATTTTTATTTGTTTATAAAAATACAAGTTTGAAAATAAATAGAAGCTAGCCACGCGAGCCGTAAGAAGATTGACATTACATTTCTCAAAAATATTTCTACTATTAAGTACAGTTTAAAGTATAAAATGGAACCAAGTTTCTAACTTTATTTTCATTCGTATTTTTAGAACAACAAATTTTTAACTAAACTGCACCTTGTCCTTTTACCATGTCCTCTGTTTAACGATATTGTCATTTCGATATCTAGTCGTTTTGCTACCAAGTCATTGCAAGTTATAGTCTTTCTGCAGAGGTGGTTGTTTTGCGATCTAGTCCTTATGCTGATCACGTCATTTTGATTATAGTCATTATGATACCGACCTAAATCAATAAATAAATAAGATAAAACCAATGGGAGAGGCCAATGGTTAGATCTGACTTTAGTTTCTAAACAATAATTCCCCAATCTATATATCGTATACGAAACCAAATGTGTAATTTTCAGGTTAGTTTACCTAATTTCAGTGGCATATTTTATGATTTAAGTATTGGAGTGTATTATCGTGAAATTTTAAATAATATTTCAGGGTACTATATTTGAATATTAAGAAGTTTGTTATGATAATATTCTAGAATAGTTAAATAATGAAAATTGCCATCGAAATTAGAAAAGCACCCTAAAAATTACCCAAACACAGTCTTAACTCAAAATTGTGGAATTGACAAAACACAAAATTATATATTATCCTTAATAAATAAAAACAATCACACTATTCCCAATGAGATACATTCAGTATTTTTTTTAAATTTTCAAATAGTGTTTTCTTTGTGATTTGACGATACAACGATAATTTATTTCTTGTATGAATAAATATCGCTTCACAACAGAACATTTGCGGATTCTGCTAATGGCGGGTTTTTTGTTTCTTTTTTTTTAAACAGATTGCCAGCTATTCTTCCTTACAATATAGTTAAATCGCAAATGTTTAGTTTTTTTAGACCTCAAATTTATGCAAAATATACGTTCAGATTTTTCGAGCTTAAAAACTTTTTAAAATCTTGACGTAAAAAATCCATAGGGCGATAATGTAATGAAACAGCCCGTGTGTATAATTTAGGCCATTACGGTCGATTTTGTCTGATGTCATGACACCGTTTGCTTTCATCACATCACGTTTGTTTCATCACACTTGCTCGTGCAAAGACGTGTTTAACATGACACTCACAAACTACAGATTATCGATTCCCGTGTAACGACGACGATCTTGCAGCGTCCATGTACTACCCGGTGCGGGGCCAGTACTACCCGCCGCCAGAGAACTTCGGCCCCCACAGGGGCAGGGGCAGGGGCCGCGGGAGAGGAAGGGGACGAGGCGGTACTAGAATGCCATTCTTTGATGGACCGGATGCGAATAGCCAGTATTATAAGTAAGTTGGATCATGTTCTTTTTTGTCGATTTTTCGATGACGCTTTAATCGCTTTGTATAATATATTTGTTTGTATAACTGCCTCCGTGGCCGAAGGGTTACCATGCCGGACTGGCACGCAGAGGTCCCAGGTTCGATTCCCGGGCCGGCAGAAATATTTGTATGTCCTACATTTATTTCTCTCGTGAGTTTGGGTGTAATTTGTGGTTGTCTCCGTGTGTGTCCATGGAACCTGCGACACAGGGTTTCCCTAGTGCGGGGTTATGTTGAGTGTGTGCATTATTATAATAGCGTAAGACCCCTGCCTTACGCCGTTACTCAAAGCCCTTAATGCAACCCTTTTCTTAACCTTTTTCTAGCCATGGACCCCTCTCACCCCTCATACTGTATTTAGAATGATGTCTATGAAAAATACAACGAGGAGACGTATTTTAAAGTTTCTCATTTTAATTCAATTTAGTTAATCAAATCTGCTTATTCTTGTTAAAATGTATATGAATAAAAATTTATTTCGGTGGCAGTAGGCCAACTGGCAAAATAAGAATAAAGATGGCAACAACGCAATTAGTAATCAATCATTAGAACGTCATAACATTCATAATTCAGTAATTTTTGGCAAAATTTTATCTTGCGTAATCTATCGATAAAACTATCGACAACAACTACATGACTATTTAATTTTTTTTAAACTGGCAACCTTGCAAATGTCATTTTACTCCGTCTTCAAAAAACACAGACTATAGAAAGATATAGATATACATATACATACAAATAATATTAATACACACGTAGCAATAAATAAATCCGCAGATACTTCAAGCGCCTGCACGAGCAGCACCGCAATGATCACGACGAGCGGTCGCACTCTCGCTCGCGGTCGCACCGCCGCTCGTATTCGCGGTCCCGCTCTCGCTCGCGGCGTCGCTCGTATTCGCGGTCTCGCTCGCGCAGCCGCCAGCGCCGCTCGCACAGTCGCTACAGGAGCCGCTCCAGAAGTCGCAGCCGACGGTCACATTCGCGGAGCCGACGGTCGAGGTTGGTCTGCTCTTGCACTTCAATAGCTCCTTTTAATAGGCCGATTTTAGCTCTCATTTCGCACCCTTGGTGTAATAGGGACAGTCTTGGTGTAAGAGAGAGGTGTAAAGATTCTACGAACATAATTATAGGACAGTTATAAAGTTTCACAGAACGTTTCATAAATTTCAGTCGCAAATGGCCAGCCCAAATTGGTCATTTCAATGCCTTACTTTCTCGAACACGTATCTTGTTGTTCAAGAGATGACAAAACTTTCTATTTAAATTTGTATTGAATTGATATTCAATTCTTTTGTGAAATTACTCCACTAGTTTGTTATGATTATTAATACAAAGGTCCATTGATTTACAATTATATGGACGTCGGGTCCGCGCTAAAAAGTGTCCTAACTTATAGGGCGTTAAAATCGTATACAGAGCGTCATTCACGCTTTAGTCTTCGTTTGTTCGACTGACAGCGAAGCAAGCAAAATTAGACAGTACTGCGATGACATTATAATTTAATTTCAACGTTCTAGCTTTTTCATATTCCTTTACATGTCACTACGTTTAAATAGGTTGACTTGGGACATTTTTTTCGTGGTTTTTGTATTAGACCCGTCATTTATTCGTAATTCATCAAGTCATTTATTCGTCATTTATTTGTAAGTCAATGCAAAGGTCGAATACAAACTTTCCTTCGATCCGGCCGGATTCGAACCGACGTCTTCAAGTAAACCGTATCAGACGCTTAGTTGGCGTAGCGTAGTAGTATAATTATAACTTGCTATTTATTTTAAATTTCTTATCAAGGGTGTTAATTTGGATGCGTTACTTTAAGAATAGGTAAAAGTCAGTGTGTGAATATGAAGGAAATGTGATGTGAAATCAGGCCGCAGAATTTGTATATACAATCTATTTTTTGCTTTTCAGTAACTTTGTGCTTTAAGATACGAGTTTGAGAAAGTAAGGCAACGATTTGCAACTTAGTCCGTCAACCATTCAGAAACAGTCGACAGAGGCCGACATACATTGGCCGTTTGCGACTTAGTACTATCTAAATATCTAAAATATCGTCGCCTTAGGGCGCGTTCAAATTAGCCGCTGGGCAGGAGCGCGACTGTCGCGCTGCTGAAGTGCGACCAAATTTTTAGTGATGTTTTATCTTTCGACTCAGTTACACGATGGGTTCTGACGAAGAAACGTTACTTTCACTTATTTTGTTAAAACTGAAGAAAAAAATAATAAAAAGAATACCAGAACGCATAAATATAATCAACAACGTATAATCGACATTGTCGATCGACAACGAGAATTATAGACTTTCGAGTTGATTGGGAGTGATTATTGAGAATGTGGCATTAATTTCTAAATCAAAGATGGTTGCCAAGAATTTTAAAAAATTGATTTTTGATAATCCTTGTGGGAATGACATATCTGAATACATGATGGCTAACACGACTTTTCTAAATGCAAGATGGCGTGCACGATTTTTCTAATAATGGCCAGTTGGGTATCGTTTTCGAGGTATTTGGGGGTGCTCATTTCGAATATAGCACTTATTTGTAAATCCAAGATGGCGGACACGATTTTTCAAAAAAATGCAATATGAGGTATCCTTTTCGAGGTATTTGGGGAAGCTCATTACGAATATGGCATTCATTTCCAAATCCAAGAAGGCGGGCACGATTTTTCGAATAATGGCAAGTTGGGTATCGTTTTCCAGGTATTTGGGGGTGCTCATTACGAATATGCCACTTGTTTGTAAATCCAAGATGGCGGACACGATTTTTACACGAGGTAGTTAATTTGAAAAATTAACATGTACACCTTACTAACCGTGACGCAACCGAGCGTAGCTGCAGCGCGACAATCGCGCGGCCGCCGCGCGGTTGCAGCGCTTCTAGAAATTATATGATAAGTGACAATCGCGCGGCAGTCGCGCGGACGTCGCGCGCCGCGTGGCTACAGCGCTGCTGCAGCGCGGCTAACGGCGGCTAACGGCGGCTAATTTGAACGCGCCCTTAGAGCGAAAAGTCGCTCTAAGGCGACGATATTTAGTAGCATTTCCTCTCGCTAACGTGAAGGGAAACATTGTGATGAAATCTGCATTATAGAAGGCTTAACCATCTAGATAGAGACCCGTGCCCAACAGTGGGACGTATGATTGATTGATAATGATGGTAGCTAACTTATGTCTTTAATTAAAATAATAACCGCTACAAAATAAAGCTAAGGACCAACCAGAAGTTATAAGTGTCGCTTATTTACAAATAATAATGCTTGAAATTACATCTGTTTTTCATTATTTGATTTTTAATTCGGGACTTAGGGTCGTATTCTAGAACTCTACTCAATGCTCAAGTCAGGATTTGAGTATGGTTTAAAGCACTCGAAATCATACTCAAGTCCCTGCCATTAAAGTCGTATTTCCAGTGCTTGTGTTTCCAGTGTAATCCTGACTCGAGCATTGAGTAGAGTTTTAGAATACGACCCTAAATCACATATAAAACATATTTTATTTACCTTGATGGTCTCAAAGGGATTGAAGAGACGGGTGTCAGCATCTTCTAGCCGTGCGAGTTTTGCTAACTACCCGCACTTGATTTTCATTATTTATTTGTGCACTAGGGTTCTCACTAGACCGACACAACACTCACGACATCCGGCAACTTGTCGGGCGATACTTGATGTCGTTTACACTTGCTGATAACTGGATCCCATGACGATGAAAGCTTAAAACCATCTCCTCGGTTGAAATTACGGTGTTTTTTAATTTCAATAGCTTCACGTACGATTCTACTAGTGATGACTTTCTGTAGAAAGGATCTTGGGATTATGAAGCTCAATCCAGTGGTTTGGACCTGATTCCAGCAAATGTTCCGTGAAAATGAAGAAAATTACTTATTGAGCTGACGGTGATTAAGTTCCGAATTCAAAATCAAATAATGTGTAAAAATCGTGAAAGTTTAAAACAAAGTACTTTACCTGTTTTTCACTTGCTTTGTTTTTTTCTTAATTTATTTATTATTTAAAACGTAATATAAAACAATGTTTCTTAGTCGCATTTTAAACCACTACGGTTCGTAGTAATGCGAACTGTATCCACACAATACATATGTTCAATTTGCTAACAGAAAATTTTTGCTAATATTTAAGTAATTTGCATAAACAAACTGAAATTTGATAAATACATTTATAAACAATCAAATATATTGCAATTGATTAAGCTGTTTACTGAATAATTTTTAAGTTTACTTTTTATATTAGTGGTTGTTAAAGAAAGCAAGGTTATTTATTACAATATATTAATGTCTAGACCACTACGTGACGGAAGCAGCAAATGCACTAAGTGAAAGAGTATTTTAACTTGTAGATTAGATTTATGACGTCCTTTAGTTAGTCTGAATTTACGACATATTATTTTACAACAAGCTGATTGTTTAGATTTCAAATTTTGCGGTTAATTGCTTATCGATTACTACTAGTTACAGATGTTTCGAAACTTCATCGAGCTGTTTTGTTTCTTCTTTATATAAAATAACAAATAAGGGAATGTATTGGTTACAATATCCTATTTGACATAAAATGCATATTTCTGCCGCCAAACAATAATGTGAGCATTACTGCGTTCCGGTTTTGAAGGGTAAGGGTGCTGGTGGAAACTACAGGCACAAGGGACTTATCAACTTTAGGTCTGAAGGTGACGGGCGCAGCCCTTCATGTCCGCGATTTACAGCTCTGAGTGGCTCTGCAAAGTAAGGCCAAAGAAAAGACGGATGGATTGTGTTTGATGTATGCAGCGATTCGTTCTGTGTACCGTTTAGGTGCACGGGTTTCTCTCGGAGAAAAGTTTAAGGAGACTGGTATCGTGACTGTTGCATCACAGTACATTTAATGAAATATTTTGTATGCCCGTAAAAAATACACAATTTCATTAAGAAAGAAGATATCCATAATATTAACCTTAGAACTAAGTCCAAACTCATGGCAACACGATTTCGTTCAACTAAGGTAAACGATTACAAGATTCCGGAGCATACATTAAAATTACCATTTTCTAAGTTTAAAACTTACATTAAAAGTATTTTAATAAAAAAAATCATATTACCAAATTGTGTGTGTGCCCATGTGGGCAGTGTGTCATGCCCGTGCTCGTCTATGATACGGAAACCATAACTTTTACAAAGAATCCGCCGAGAGGTTCCGAGTCGTGCAGAGGGGCATGTAGAGAGCAATGCTCGGAGTTACCCTGCGAGACCGAAAAAGCAACGCTTGGATCCGAATCCGAAGTGGGACCAAAGCTAAAGATGTCATGGTTGTCGTGGCGAAGAAAAGCTGGGCGTGGGCGGGGCACATTGCGAGAATGGACGAGAGGCGCTGGACAAGGCGAGTAATTGAGTGGAGACCCAGAGCGGACGTCAGAGGGCGCGGCAGACCTCCGCAGCGCTGGTTGGACAACATCCGACGGTGTCGTCTCCGTGTGGAGGTCGGGACTAGATTAGCCGGGCACAGGATCGCCAAGAGTGGAAGAAGAGGGAAGAGGTCTTCATCCAAGATTGGATAATAAAACGGCCGCCATGATGACCAAATTGAAGACTGTGTGTTAGATAAAGATGTATGGAAAGACGATAAGAGTCTAGATTCAACACAAATTTGATTCAAAGTGTATTACATGACATTTAAATTTATTTCAAAAGAGCAAGCCTTAAAATATAACGTTTTATGTGTAAATGTATTTTGGCTATGGAACAAATGATTGTTTGACTTTGACTTTGTGCGAAAGAGGACATAGATAAGAAAGGTGTGAGTATGGAAGTGATAAAGGAGAATAGAAGAAAAATACTTGTGCCGATCCCATCTAGCGTGGGATAAGGACAGGAAGATATCATGGCTCTGCCAAAGGTTATGGGTAGGCATGTCGATTACCACCAGGCGCACGACTTGTTCTTTCCGTCACTTGAGACCATCGAGTACATAACCAGAAATAGAGACGAAATGTCATTTAATTGGTTTGAAAACTATTCTGCCATATCATTATTGTGACAACTGCGCTCCGATTGGCTAGCCCGAGTTCGAAACAATTGACGGGTGTCGTCAATGTGTGTCGTCAATTGTTTCACTTCAAATCGACCAGTTAACTTGAGTTTTGCTATAATTGACGAAAATGGCAAAATTACATATTTAATATTTAATTACCGATGAAATGTGATTCCGTTTGTTTTGTAATTAGATGTTTTGCTGTTTTTCCCACACCACCGAATAGAACAGAACGGCATTGTTAGAGATATTATCTTTATTATAATAAATACAGAATATTTTTTGGAATATACGGAGACTCGGTATTTGTTGTGTCAGTAGTTGGCCTGTCTATATTTCAGTGCGAACGAGAGTTGATATTTATAAAAGCTGTATCGATAATGTGTTACCAGGAATATATGGCCCTTATTTCGTCTCTGTTTCTGGTTATATACTCGATGCTTGAGACCTTACCATTCAGAAAGAAAAACGAACGAGTGGCCACATATAATGCCTGAAATTCTCTACAAATTAAGAAGTGATGTCGTAGTAAGATAATTGTAACTAATGATAGTAGTCAATAGGATTGTTTTCGCTACATATTGTGCATTTTTCTTTTCCCGTAGTTGCATGCGAAGTCGAAGTGCCGAAAGAAGAAACTGCGTTCATGCCGTTAGTTCAGTAATTTATTAAAACTGATCGATCGTGTAGTACAATCACGCTATTACAGGGCCATCAAATTAGACGCTTGTAGAAGTGCTGCAATTTTTATATCATCTAGTCAGCAAAAGTGGCGTTGCAGCTGCGCTTTTAAATATTATATGAAAATTAATATAGCATCCGACAAATGTGCCATTTACGTTGACTCAATTGTGCTCGGTTGGCCAAAAGTCCGTCCCATAACAAAATATAAATGAAAAACATTTATAATCATAATTTTTTTTAAAAAAAACCGACCTCAAAAGTTTGTAGAAATACACCTGAAAGTGCGCGAAACCGAATTCATCCCCTAGTTTGCCGCCCTTAGAGGTGGAATATTGTCTTCAATTTTAAATGGGACCAATACTGAGGTACCCTGTTTCCAACAAAAAAAAGGATCATCAAAATCGGTTCAAAATCGGTGCCGGAGCAACGCGTAACATACACACACAAAAAAAAAATGGAGTCGAATTGAGAAATTACTTCGTTTTTGAAGTCTGTTAAAAATAAATATCAAACATTATTCAATTATGTATTGCTCATGTGAAAATGCTGTAATAAATAATAATTGGAATAATTTTTTGGATTTGATTGGAAAATCGATCTAAATCGCATATGTGTCGGCTCATCCGAAGAACAGAGTCCTATGTGATTATACAGCGAAAATAGGATAAATACATAATCTCGTTATCTAAACTAAGACCTGTCTATAGGTGTTTTCAGAATATTTGTATCTTATTGCGTTTTTTATACAAAATCGAACAATGGTTGATCTGGTATCCACAGCGAAGAACAACTAACGAATTGTACAATGTCCTATGAGTAAGAAGTCTGCATATAGGTCTTTGTTCTATGGATGAGTCGATTTGTTATTTCAAACAAACTAATGTTTCGGGCCCTGATTCAGCCGTGACCATGGGACCTGGGCCCTGTTGTGTGTCGATAGAGTGTTAGTGGCAAGATTTTGTACGTTTGGTATTCTGCTAATATTTAAGAGTATATAACCAGAAATTGAGACGAAATGTCATTGAAAATTTGAAAACTATTCTGCCAAATCATTATGGTGACAACTGCACTCCGATTGGCCAGTCCGAATTCGAAGCAATTGACGGGTATCGTCAACTGTTTCACTTGAAATCGACCAGTTTAACTTAAGCTTTGCTATAATGGACCTTAATTGAAAAATTACATATTTATTATTTAATTACCGATAAAATGTAATTCCGTTTGTTTTGGAATTATATGTTTTGCTGTTTTTCCCACACCACCGAATATAACAGCCCCCCATTGTTAGAGATATTATCTTTATTACAATAAATACAGAATATTTTTGGAATAAAGAATAATAGACGTACATACAGGTCAGTTGTTGGCGCTGTACGTAGGGCATTCAATAAGTTTTGAGATGCTCGAAATTTAAAAATGGAAGGCACCCGTATTATTTGTTTTTAAAAAGCAAATTTATTTAAAAATAGATCACCAAAAGCAATTTAGCTAAATTAAAAAAAAAATGACATTGTTAGTCATTTTACTACAACGCTTCCCGCGCTTTTTCTTTGCAATAATGGATCTTAACCGGGAACATTTGCGTGCTATGATCTTCTATGATTTTAAATGTAGTTTAACTGAACAATTGAGTTTGGAACGTTTGCAGACAGCATTAGAGGACTCTGCTCCTTCTCGTGCAACAGTTTTTAGATGGTTTAAGGAATTTTAAAAGAGGCAAAACTGACCTTGAAGATGACCTAAGAGGCGGACGCCCGGAAACAGAGTTACTGCAGAAAATGTGTGGACATCTGAAATGTTGGTGCGAGAAGACCCACAAATCACGTACACGAACATTGAGAAGATCCTAGGCATTAGTTCGGGGAGCGTCAATACTATCCTGCATCAACATCTTGGAGTGAGGAAGCTTTGTTGTCGATGGATCCCACGATTGCTCTCCGGTACTAAAAAACAGGCTCGAGTGGATTGGTGCCGAGAAATGCTTATACGTTTCGAAAACGGGACATTGAGACGTGTTTCAGAAATCGTTACTGGTGATGAAACATGGATCTATCAATATGATCCAGAAAGCAAGAAGCAGTCGTCGGTGTGGGTCTTCGCAGAGGGACAATTACCGACAAAGTTGCAAAGACCTCGAAACGTCGGCAAAAACATGGTAGCTGGTTTTTTTTCTCGGAGCGGACATTTGTCGACGTCAATGTTACAAAATAGTAGGTCTGTTAATTCAGAATGGTGCACAACAGTAGCATTGCCAAAAGTTTTCCAAGCTGTGCGGGAGAGGAGACCAAAGACCGGGCTTCGGGGAATCATGCTGCATCACGATAACGCCTCTTCACATACGTCCCTCAGAACAAAGCCGTTTATTGAGGAATCTGATATAGAAACCTTAAATCACCCGCCGTACAGCCCTGACTTGGTTCCCTGCGATTTCTTTTTGTTCCCAACAGTGAAGGAAAAAATCAAAGGAAAATTTTTTTTTGAGTGTCGAAGAAGCAGTGGCTACCTACGAAATGGCAATTTCAATGCTGACGGATCAAGAATGGCAAAAGTTTTTTCAGAGTTATTTTAGACGAATGAAACTTTGTGTAGATAATGGTGGAGAGTATTTTGAAAAAATGTAAAATAAATTATATTAATATGGTTAATATTTTTTCTTTATCTCAAAACTTACTGAGTGACCTACGTACTATTTGAGCTTTCTAATTTGTGATTTCAACGCAAACGAGAGTTGATATTTAAAAGTGATATAAGGCCCATTTACCTGATGAGTTGCCAAGGGTGGATGGCCCTTATTTCGTCTCTATTTCTGGTCATATACTCGATGGCTAAAAGTTAAGAGACTGTTAGTGACTAGCCATCTAGTTCTTTAAGGTTTTTCTTACAATGTAAGTAATCGAGTTTTATTATTATAAAAGAATGCATTTCATTTTGAAGACTTAAGTGCCCTGCCTCACCGGGTCGTCATGGCGACGTCGCCAGCTACGCAGCCAAAAATTTATATTGTGAAATGTATGGCTGATTGGCGACGTCGCCAATTTGGAAGCGTAGCCACTACCGACTCAGGGGAGTTCCACATAGGGATGTGGAATTCGGCGACTCTGGCGCGCTGGCGATGTAACCAATATAATGTCCGCGTGTAAACAGCGCTACCCTCACTTCAGTCGCCAGACAGTCGCCGAATAACTAACTAGGCATTCGACATACGTGGCTTGGCTACTCTGTTTGGCGACATTCGATTGCCAGAGGTAGCCAAGTATTCACTGCTGGCGACGTCGCCATGGCGTTCCGGTGAGACAGGGCTCTAAAGCTGTCAACAGATTGACTGTATGTTTGCGTAAATGCGTCGTAGCAGCCGAAATAGCTGATTACATGAGACAAAAATTAAGATATGCATTATTTCCATGGTAATTTTAGTAAGGCAACATCGATTGTTAGTGATTGAATGAATGAATGCCATCATTGCCATTCCTGTGACACTATTGAGCACTAGAGACGCAATATCCTTCAAACAGTTGTCTAAAATGTGGGACCACTTTTCAAATTTAAAGACTAGCTTTGAAACTGATTGAAATTTCAAAGAAAAATATATTTGTCTCGTTTTTTGTAATGTCAAACTTATTATGTCAGAATGAAATAGCCATAGTGCATTAAGGGATACGACCAGTGAAAAAATTTTTCCCTAATTTCTTGTAGCCTCACTGGTGGAAAGAGACAGTGGACATAGATAGTAATCAGAAATGGAATGGACGAGTGAGTGAAATATACTTGAAAATGTATGAACTTAAGAGTCCACGCTTGGAATTCATAGTTCTTTCAAGTAAATTGTAAATATGAAGAAAGGCGCAGATTGCGCATCTATTGTTTACAAGTATAATATTGCTATTGAGACTCAATTGCCATTGCAATTAAATTTTAGTAGTTGTGCAAAAATCTCTTCGATAGTCCTTCTGAGTCACCGAACATAATTGTCTGTGTATTGTCTAACACACCCCCCATGACTTTTATAAAACTTGAAAACGGACTCTGCCAGAATTGGACGTAGTTAAATAAAACGGATCCTATGCACATCCAGTCACTTTCAAGAGATGGCAGTTTGAAGTTTAAAAATGTTTCTCACTCTTGTTTTATTTTCGAAACATATAATGTCATGTAACTGCAGAGATATTTATTTATGTTTATATGTTGAATTTTTTTTGCTGATCTAAGAGTTTAGATTTTAGAAACCGTTTGCTACATATAACTTATTTTTTGATAATTTTATGGATTGGGTTCTTTTAGCTTAACTACGTCCAATTGACACAAAGTAATCTCACAAGCCATTCATTAAGAAAAAAAATAAAGATTTTGACAGAATAACAAATATTTTCATAATTGCAACACTCAGTGAAGCCTCAATAGAATTACAAAGACAAAGAAAATTATTAGAATTGGAGCCCTTTAAAGAGTCCGAAATGTCGCTTTGTTTGAAACAACTATACGCGATTTATATGCGGAAAAATAAATTCACTTGCAATATTATTAGTTTGATTAGCTGTAGAAGTATCTACTACGTTTTAAATTATTTTCTCGCTCACCCGCTCCGTTTGTCTATTAGTATATTGTAAATCGAGGGATTATTCATAATTATCTTACAATTACCACGTAAACATCTTTAGTACGACGCTTGTGTGGAATTCTTAGTGTTAATTAAACCGTAGAGAAATATTGCTTTGTACTTACCATCACACATCCATATCAAAAGTATTTTTTTATTGCACACAAAGGACCGTAGATAAGATAAGAAAAAGTAGAAGGTAAAGATGGAACTGGTAGGTACTGCTGACAGCCGCATACTTACATCTTGGATGACACTCACGACTAAGGGATAAATCCAGATGGGTAGCAATTGCCTCAACGCTATATGCTGGTGAAATTACAGACACATGGGACTTGTCAACTTATGTGTCAGGGTGACGGGCGTAGTGGCAGTGCCCCTCAGATCTTTGCGATTTAAAGGTCTGAGTGGCACTGCAACTGTTATGGATAGGCATGTAGCTTACCATCAGGTATATATATATTTAGTCGTAGCGCCATCTATGAGAAATCTATGAAAGTAATTCGTCACCCAGTTAGATACCTTTACGGCTACCAGCCCTGGCTAGAGATGACGCTATTAATTGTAATTAATTTTTTATAGAATTGATAATAAATTATTTTTGTGAAATTACTCGTCGTTGAAAAACCAAGTACAAAGATCCAACTACAAACATAAAAAAATTCTTGAGTTCCGCTGGTTCGTTCTTTGGCTTAGTTGGCATAGCATCTGGCACGATTTGCTAGGAGACGTCAGTTCGAATCCGGCCGAATCGAAGATTTTTTTTTCTAAGTGTTCGATTTTTGTATTAATAATATACAAACTAGTGGAGTAATTTCACAAAAATAATTGAATATTAACTCAATAAATCTTTTAAAAAGAACACCCTACTCTTATATCTACTCCTTTTTTTTTCTTAAGATGCGCTCCTCTGTATTTATGTTATTCTGAAATTCACAGGTCTCACCACACCCGTTCGCGCTCAAGATCTCGTAAGCGTTCGCGCACACGCTCTCGTTCTCACAGTCGTCGCTCGAAGTCGCGCTCCAAGTCCAAACACCACACTCCACCGAAGGAGCCAACGCGCGGTGCAAGCGTCGACAGCAGTAAATTTGTCTTCCCCAACGAAATGAGAAGGGATCGGTCCAAGAGCTGGTCTCTTCCCAAGGAAGTTGACAGGAATTGGTCCAAAAGCCCGAAAGACAAGTGATTAATTTTGTATTGAATAAAACTATTTAATGTATTTTCATTCGAATTTGTTATTTTATTTATTGGGGATAGCTGACCATTTATTTCGTTGATTTACTGTTGTGTTCTCCCGTTATATTTATTGGCTGAACCCCGTACAGTCAGAACTTCTACGGCATCGAGTGGGTATATAACCAGAAATAGAGACGAAATAAGGGCCATCCATCGTTGGCAACATATCAGGCAAATGGACATTATATCACTTTTAAATATGAACTCTCGTTTGCACTGAAATCACAAATTAGAGAGCTGAAATAGTACAGCG